CTCGTAGCCGAGGCTTCTCCGAATAGGCTTTGCAGACCCTACCTCTCCCGCAAGTAAAGGGCGCCGGACCGACGTCTCCGGAGCGTGCCGCACTTGCGGGAGCTGGGGGTGCTGGGCGCCCCCTCCTGCGCCTGAGTCCCGGTGACCGTGCCTCGGGAACCCTCTCTGCCATGGAAATATCCGGTTTAGGGAAATGGAGTCACCCAGGTCTTTCAAGCTGCCTCTTTCATTCTGAGCCAAAGAAGGCAACTGAAGAAGAACGCATGCATTGCCCCTAGATTCATGTCCAATTAACTATCCATATATTCCAGGTGAGGAGCAAATGGGGTGCACCCATTCAGGCCCAAAGTCTAAGGAAAGGTCGGTGGACAGTCTTGCCTCTAAATCTGCAGAGGGCCCCTCTCGGAAGGAAGGGGCCGCCACGCAGCAGGTGCCGGCACGTGGAGTCAAAGGTAGGACCCACCCAAAAGGGGACAGAGCCCAGGTTGCAGCTTCAGGGAGTCTGGTGACGGGGTGAACAGGGATCCTGACAACAGGGTGGGCGGGTTTAGGATCTCTGTGTAAGAGGGGACACGTTCAGTGAAGGTTGTGGGAGTTGCCATGTGACACACGCCTAACAGTCAGGAGGGGCTCAGCACCCAGCTTGGAAGGCTGCCCCAGGCGGGAGCACAGTCACGTATAAGAAGAACTTCGGTGGGCAAAGGGCTGCGATCGCGTGGCAAATTTATTCACTTCGTCACAGTCCAGGGTGGGTAGGGGGTTGAGGCCACAGAAGCAGCCAGAAGATGAAGTCTTCTTTCAGTTCTACCGTGTGGGTTGTGGAAATGGAATTTTTAAAACAAGGGACGTGTGATGGGGTTGGTGCCCTGGGAAAAATGTCTCCAGAATAAAGGCTGTTTGGGGCAGCAAGACCTGTCAGAGGCCCATTGCTATTAGGTGGGAACTAATGAGCCACTGGCAGTGGGAATTACAAAGGATCCAGGAGGTGGGACCAGTGGAACCTGCTGAGTGATGAGAGGTGGGGACGGGAGCCAGGAGGGTGGGTGGCAGTGACCTTGAGATGGAGTAGTTGCTGGGTCAGGAGGAGCTGGGCTCAGGCAGGTTCACATTTTAGCATCTGTTTGAAATGAGGGTGTTGAGCAGGGCCTGGACTTCAAATCCCAGTAGGAATCCTCCTTTGACGATGGAAGACCACAGGAGGAGCCAGAGTCCTAGGGAGGTTTGGAGAATGCTGCCGGTCTATCGGGAGGCTTTTGGCTGCAAATCACAGAAAAGCCAACCAAAAGGGGCTTTACTGCCGAGGAACTCGATGTCTCCCACGTAAAGGGAGGGCACACGGGGCCCAGCGGATGAGCCCAGCAGGATGTGTGTGCCCACACTTTGCTGCCCTCGGGCTCCCGGTGTCACACACGGGCAGGACTGTCTAGTCCAGGAGAGGCATTGCGTCGTGTGAACAAGAACCTTTTCGCAGAGGGCCTCAGCTGCCTGGCACCTCCAGGATCGACTCATCTGCAGATTCCAGAGCTGGACTTCTGCAAGGGAAGGAGTGGGCAGGGGACTGCCTGTCACACCATCATTTCAGGGGGGTGGAGAGAAGATGGACATAGAGGGGAAGGGTCAGAAGCTAGAGTGAGGACGGACACCCTGGCGGTGTGTCTTGGTGGGAGCGTCGTCCCACACACTGAAAGGTTGCGAGTCTGATTTTCGGTCAGGGCACATACATATGTTGCAGGTTTGACCTCCGGTACGGGAGGCAACTGATCGATGTTTCTCTCTCTCTCTTACTTTTCCCCTCTCTCTAAAAACTAATCAATAAACATATCCTTGAGTGAGGATTTTAAAAAAAGGTGAGGCTAGAGTTTCAAGAAAGAAGTCGAAGAGTGTGGTTTCTCCAATAATGAGGCATCTCAGCAACAAGGGTCAAGCTACTGACATGTGGGACCCCGAGGGAGTCTCCACAGCCGGGCACCAGGTGCAGGAGCCACACGTAGAGACGATGCGTGTTACCCTTCCATTTACATGAAACACCCAGAGAAGGCAAATGTATAGAGGGAAGCCGGGCTAAGGGTGAGAAAGTGGGTGGCCGCAAATGGGAACAAGAGGTATTAAAACTGGATCGAGGGTTGCCTGCCTCTGAAAGTTTG